TTTTAAACTATCATGGAAAGTCTGGGCTTTGGGCATATGCAAAAGAGAATTGGAAGCCAAGTCCAAAGGAAAAGTCAGTTGAGGAAAACTTTTTCCAAAGACTGCTGAATGCATGGGGCATTGCCAAGGGCTTCATAAGAAAGAACTAGAAACCACCTTACAGTGGTGTTACTGGAAGCAAAATTTAACCTGTTTATTTTTATCCTGAAATTGCTGTCAGTTAAGCAATAAAATCACAGAATGTGTTGGGTTGGAACAGACCTTTAGAGCTGATCCAGCCCAACCCTGCAGTGAGCAGGGACATTGGTACCAGATCAGAGTGCCCAGAGCCCATCAAGCCTGGCCTTGAACATCTCCAGGGATGGGGCCTGCACCACCTCTGGGCAACTTGTTCCAATGATCTGCCACCCTCATATTGAAGAACTTTTTCCTCATACCCAACCTAAATCTCCCCTTTTCCAGTTTAAAACCATCACCCCTTGTCCTATTGCTCCATGCCCTGGTGAACAGCTCTTCCCAGATTTCTTATAGGCACTTTTCAGGTCCTGGAAGGTCACTATAAGATCCCTTCTCTCCTCCAGGCTGAACAACCTCAACTCTCCCAGCCTGTCAGTACATTAGTGTCGGTATATTTTGGTTTTCCAATATTCAGGTAGTGGAAGTTCTGAGTCCTTTAAAGAACTGAGTGAAACAGCAGCTGTGAAGCACAAATGTGGTACATCTCTGCTTTCACTCACCTCCACTGGCAGTCACAGAGCATGGATTTTCACCCAGATGATCACCTCTGGTTGACTACCAGGTAACCTTCTAAACAGACAGAAAATGCCAAGGAAACAGATGGGCAGCTCTCAGCATCAAAAACCAGAAAATAGCATCTGCCTTTCAAATACCATGCTTCCCAACATAATCCTGGGTATAGCAGCTACAGGTCTTATGGTCGCTTCATAACACTTTTGGTACTGTGGTTACGAGGTGGGAAATAGTTTCTAAAGTTGAGAGGCGGAACCACCGGCTTGGATAATAAAAAAGGACCACATGGGGCCATTTTCTAGTCTGCTCTTTCGTTTTGATGATTAAAACTGAAGTGCCATTAGAGGGCAGATGTAGTATTAGTCACTAAGGGATTCAAAAGTGACTGATTCAGTAATTAAACTGGCAGTAAACTGTAAGTAAACTGGCACCAGTTTACTTTATATTCTTTATTTAGCCTTTCAAATAACCCAAATTACTACAGTTTCTCCTTTCCGTGAGAAAATGCATCCTCCAGAATTGATCTTGTTTCTCAGTTGGCTAGAGGAAGGACTTGCTTTAAAACATTGGGTTACTCTCACCTCTGAGTGCAGGATACGAACAGCTGCCTGTGATGCAGGGCCCAGATGCATTGGTTTAAAGTAATACTTGCAAGTACCATTTAGTCTGACCAGCAGAAGTGAGCTTAGATGAATATTTATTTGTTAGAACCCCATGTTTGTAGTACTATGAGTTGTAGATGTGTTTTTCTTTCCATCAGTAGAAGCTGGCTGCTAGAGCATCTACTTTTCTTCCTCCTCCTATCCCTCATCTCTGGTTGTCTTTGTAGTGTAAGCAGTTGGCTTGAATCTTCAAGGATCCTTAAGTAAATTTTGATCTGTTAAAATCAACTCTAAATGTTAACTCCTTTGGGGGTTTTTTGAGTACCATGCCAAAAAGTGTAGTGCTTCACTAAGTATGAAGCTGATGCGGTCCTAAAGAAATGTTGATGTGGGAATCTTAATGAGCAAGCAGAGATTATGATATTGCTGAGTGCTGGAGTGCTTCAGTGTAGATTCAGACAAATTTTAGTGAAATTTAATTGGAAATACCAAAAAATTTCGTAGAAAAATGTTAATGTGGCAGGATAGTAGTTTAGAATTACTTGTGTAATCTCATTAAATGAGGTTGAATAGAAATGTCTGAAAAGGCTGAATTCTGAATAGCGTTGCATTGTAAGATTTTCAGTTCACACAGAACATGTTGGCAAACAACCTGACAGGTGACTGCTTCTGCAGGAGTGTTTGGGAACAGCTCAGTGCTCATTTCCCACTACTAAGCTGTTCAATGCATTGCTCCGTACTCGGGTTTGCATTAAGTGTACAAATGTGTTTTCAATTATTCAGCTCCGCTCCGGTTTCTGACACAGAGCATGTGCTCTGCTAAGGTGTTTTTGTCTTTCTCAGGCATGTGTGAGTCGGGAGATCTGGTCTCTGATTAATTCTCCACAAAAATGCTGCTGTCAGGAAGGTTTCTAAAATGCTGTTATTGTCACTGGAGACTTTTACACAGATCTTTGTAAATGAAAGTTTATGGCTATTTTTTTAAGAAGGTTTAAAACCATGATGTTTTTTTAAAAAAAAACATTTCAGGATTTTTTGCTTTACTTTTCTGTTGCCTAAGACGTTCAATTTGATTTTGGGAATCCACCACTGCTCATCTTGAAGGGATGCTGGGAGGCCCTGCCTCACCAAACCTGCTTCGGACTCTGTTCATCCTCACGTAAGGAGAGAGAGTTGAAACCCCAGTCTAATCTTGGTGGTTGGTCTCTATAATAAACCAGTCCAAATCTGGGATTTAAGGAGCCATGTGGTCTTTAGGGAAGGCCTTAGGGAAAACAGCACTTTATGCCTGATGTATGGATGAAACAAGATGTTTTGCTCTCTGCACTTTCTCTTCACTGTGTGCTACTGATTGTTTTAAAGACCAAAATTCTATTCCTCAGGGAGATTTTTGTTCCTCTGCATGTATCTGCCCTAGCTTTATTTGTCTCAGACACTTGTCCTCTGAGATAATTTTAGATGGAGGAGTGGAAGAGAGTTTAGTTAACCTGTAATGAATTGCTTTCCCCTTCGTTCCTCTTGAAGTCCCTATTGCCTTTACCCTTTCAATTCTCCTTGTCCTCTTGACTATTTTTTTGCTCTTCATGGACACCCACTTCCAGTCACGCAGAGGGGTTTTTTCCATCTTTCGTATCAACAAAAATCAACAACTTCTTTTAGTGTTTATTACTGTAAGTTTTCTTTACTTTCTTCTGAGGAACAGACAGTGTCTGGGAAAGCTGCTACTTAGCAGCCACCTTTTGTCCTTCCTCTGGAAGGTGTTGTAGGCCAGACCTCATGTGCTGGGTAATACAACAGCACATTCACAGATCTCTGCTTCTTAATCAATCCTTCTATTTCAAACCAGAGCAACTTAGTCAGGAAGAAAATAGGGGACTTGATCAGAGGCTGTGTAGTAAATGCTTCTCTGCTGGTGCAGGGCACAGTGCCCATCTTTCTAATCAGCATCTTCAGGTGTGTAAACAGCATTGGCTGGAACATCAGGAGTGTCTCTGTGGAAAGAGAATAGGACTGAGTTATATACTGGCTCTCATTAGTCTTCTGTCCTTTCTGGAATAAGAGAAGGAACGTGAGAAGTCTTAGCCTTTTGAAGCTGTGCCTTCACTCCCCTTATCTTGATGAGCAAGAGTACAGGGTGATTATTTGTCTCATGGGTTTCTGCCTGGTGCTGAGGGCCAGTGCTGGCGCAATTGGTAGCAGTGGTAGCTCTCGTTCTCAGAGTTCATCACAGCAGTCCCCCACTCCTACCAGGGACGTCTGGGATCGTCCTGGTGCCAGCATCACCAGCACAAAACTGGTGTCTCTGAGAGACGTCTGGGTTCTGACATACAATACACAAGTTCTCACACAACACGTCAGGCCAGAGACGCCTGCTTATCTCTAACCTGTTCCAGAAAGTAGCTTGTGCCAGAACTGTCAACCTCAAAGGCAGCTGTATCAGTGGCCTATTTCAGTTTATTTAAACTGTGAGATTTCTAGAGAAGGTGGCAGTCCAAGGAAATAAGAACCCAACATAAAGCCTTAGTTACTTTGCACCTGCTATGTTCAAGTACTTGAGGCTGAACTCTAGTGAAATTATACCGGCAGAAGCTAAAACAACGTTAGTTGTGGGTTTTCTTCCTTTTTCAAAGGCAGAGATCTCAGACTGGAGGGTTGTCTTTCTGTTATGACATTAGTTCTATGGAATAAACTACCACCAGGCTCTTGAAAGGAATATGAGCTGTGTACTGAGTTCAATAGTAACACTTTAAAGAAAAAATCCCACTTAAGTGCCATGTGTGCTGAACCTAGTACATTCCTACACATTTAGTAATGCCAATGTGTGAACTGCCATTTTATTTGCAAATTTAAGTGCAAATAATTGCTTTTTAACGTGTTACAGACATAGTACAGATGTGTATTATGTCCCTGTCTTTTATGAGCAGTCATGTGGATGTACTCTGGAAACCTATTGTTTTTCTTCAAGCTCGCTGTTTCGTACTTTTCTCAACCGAGGCCTTGCACTATAATTTGTTTGTTTGATAATAAAGGGAGTATTTGCGAGCACTTAGGGATAAGTTTTTTAAAAGTGCTTTTCTCATGTTTCCTATTCCACGTGGTGATACTTTTTCGATCCAGTGGAAATTTGTGGGAGAGCCTCAGGAGAAGTTTCTGTCATTTTTAAAAGGACTTAAAGGCCCTGTTTCCCTGGCTTCAAAGGTGTTTGGCACTCCAACACTTAAAGGGAAAACTCTGACCACATCTGATCCAATACAGTTTTTGTTTTGACTGGCTTTTACTGTGTTCCACTGAATTTATTCCCCTTGAAACCTGTGGTCAGACTGAAGTGCTAGCAGAGCGATTATCACCTTTAGCTGTATGTCTGTAGATCTGCTAGCGCTGCAAGAGGGAGCTCAGTGACCAACCTTGGGTGGTAGCAGAGTGTGATGGTTAAATTAATGGAGTTTCTTCTCAAGCAGTAGCCATGGTGTGTCTAGATGCGGTGATGCTCCTCCATGGATTGTAGACCAGGTTATCTTGTGCAGCCCTCGCCTAGACCAGCGGTTCTCTGGGGTGAAGAAATGTGCCATGGCTGGCTTTCTGGGGACCTGCCAGCCATGAACCACTGTGGACATTGCACTAATAAAAGTCTGCTCACTTTTTGCATAGGGATCAGCTGGCTTACCTGGAGAAACTGGGCCATCTGGAAGCCTGGGCGAAAAGGTATGATAACGTATCTGACTACCCAGCAGCAAAAATCAGCTGTGAAAACCACTGGGGTGATAAAACAGTGGTGAGAGTTTGTTTACTGACTGTTGGCAAAGCTAATATTTGTGTAGCTATTTCAGAGCACAAGGATGCAATAAATAGTAATTCAAATGCTGTTACGTGAGGAATGCATCTGGTATCCTTGATCTTACTTGGCAGTTGATGTAGAGCTGATAGATTTGATATCTTGTTTGTATTATGGCACTTACTTCGCTATCCACTGCTATCGATTCACAGAACTTTATTGTAGTTGTTTTATGCGGTATTTATGCACTACTGCATAGAGAAGAGACAAAAGCAGAAAGGTAAAATTTGGCTGTATGCGTAAACTGAGTAAAGAAGACAACACTGTGAGTGTTGTCTGCTGTGCAGTAACTGTTGTGTTTATGAAAGCAAAGTTTGGCAGGCTTAATGTGACTAGAAATTAAAATATAAATAACCTAAGCATACTTCACATGGTCTTGTTTAGGTGAAGTACTTTAAAACTGAAAAACAGGAAACTATTACTGGACTCCATGTCAGCTTCAGTTATAATAATAACAACATAGCTGTTTGTCAGAATGATCCAGCACCATTTATATTTATTCCCTGCAGGTCTGAATTATTTCCCCTAGACTGGTCACTGCTATTTAGGTATCTTATTGAGAAAGTCTTAATGATGTATTAGAACTTCCATGAAAATCTGATTATAATTTATATAATCAGTGAAAGGAAATACACAAGTGGAAAACACTGCTTGTTAAAACTGAAATGTAGGCAGGTGTCATGTGGTTTTAATCATAATATCACCCTGGCATTCAATGTCAAAGGATTCTTGTCCTTTATTATTACACCTGGCCCAACAACCACTACATTAGGATACTGCTGCTAGTTTAGCTAGAGGGGAAGAGGCAGTAAAAGACTGGTCTATCAGCAAATGGAGGTAAGCTTCTTCATGGTGCAGTAAGTGTTGTCATGGCTATGCTGTTTCTGTAGAGTTTATCATCTTCCTCTTTCATGCTATGTGGGTTTAAATAACAAACATACTTCCAGTGTAATTATTTTCAAGAAATGTTTCTTTAATGGTGTGCAGCACAAAATATAGCATTGTCACTATGTCGTGTGTACTGTTTGCAATAAATGTGCAATATTTGTAGGGGGATGATCTACAGCCAAGCCTGGTGTTTGGGCTGGCTGTTATGTGAATAAAAGGGTGAGGAAGCGCCTAGGAAAGGGATCTTTTTACATTCCCTACCTCGGTTGTTTCCACAGCTGCTGAAGGGGTGGTCTTGCTTTTATATCTGTGCTTTACTGAAGAAATCAGGGAGAGGGAAACAGCATCTTATTTTTGTTTTGCTTGTTTGCTGTGGTGAGTTTTATGGATTAAAGAACGTCACTATAAATGTGATGCACCCAACAGAGAGAAAAAGGAATCTGCTAAGACTGGTGTACCAAATCTCTTCTTCAGCCTTCTAGGAAAAGGGAAGACAGGGAAGTTCAGTGTCATAACCTTCTCAAAAGATGGGTGGGCTTGTAGGAGTGTAGCAACTCAAGAAAGGTGAAAAAAGAGCTCTGCACTGTTTCTGAGCAGTCCCTGCACCAGTAGTGTTATGCACTGCAAAATGTTGTTGTTCCCTTCAGCTACCAGGGATCTTGTAGACGATGGGCTACAACCTTCATGACAAATCTCTGGGACTGCTGTGGTGGTGTTATTGCGGGTTAACCTTGTTGGCCGTATATGGCTGGCTCAATGGACATGGAATGAGCTGGACAAACAGCACTCACTTCACCTCCTTTTTAATTTGCCATTAAAGGGAGACCGCGGCAGTCCGGGGCGAGTGGGTCCTCCTGGAGATAAAGGTGTCATGGTAAGTCACAAATAATTTGGAACCTGTGGTTGTGTTACTCACAAAGACACTTCACTTCCCAAAACAATAATGAATTCTCACTCTTCTGACTGTGCAAGCTTTATGGAGCAGAGTAGTATTTAGTATTTATGGTGCGTTGTTCCTAGGGAGTTTCGTTTGGCAGCTTTATCGCCTCTGTGGAAGTGACACTGCAAAGTGCATGCTGAATGCAGCGGCAGAGCAACTGTGTTTGAAAAATGGCTCTAAGCAGAGATAAAAGACTAATCACGGTGAATTGAAAGGAGGAATAAATAAAGGAGGGAAAGTCAATGAATGTTCTGTGTAGACTGGTTTAATGTACGTTATTCTAATAGACAGATCTACCAAGCAGCATCACCTCTAGTTCTGCTGCACAGCGGTACCCGGACAGCCCCTGGGTGCCAGGACTGGCTTCCTGACAGCACTGCTTGTCCCAGATCAAATGCAACGTTTTATGAATGAATGAATAAAAACAAGTAAATCAGCTATACACAAGAAAAAAGCTATAAAAAAAGCTATACACACATGACTGTTGTATTCACGTGGAAGTTCTTGAGGAGAAGTGGTGAGGTTTGGTTGTGTGTTTGCCAGCAAGCACTGTGATGGCTCCAGGATGTGTAAAGAAAGCATTTTGTCTTGATCGGGGTGTCCCCACTTTCTGTTCCCTCTGTCACAGCCTTGACGTGAGGATTTGGAAATTCATTTGGAATTCAGCAGCTGTTGTGTCAGTAAATCTCTGTTAGCTTGTGCCTGCGAGCGGGAAAACGTCTGAGGTTGCTTTAATGAGTATTGAGATTTATCCAAACAAATACCTGTTTTCTAAACAGAATTTTGATAGTACATTTTACAAGAGTAAACATTTTATTCACTTACCTCCAATTTTGCAGGTAAGCAACTGGATTTATCATTGTGGTTGTAATAACTATTTTGATAAAATTGTTTTGTCTTTTCTATATTTGTTTCAATCCTAGGGCTACCCAGGACCTCCAGGAGGCCCTGGACCTGTGGGGCCAGAAGGATTACCTGTAGGTATAGAGTGGTTTGACATAACATACACCATTTCCAAATTGGCTTTTTGCTCTCCTGACTCTAAGAACAGTTTCTAATTTGTACTTCAGTCTATAAAACTGTCATGAAAATTTACCCGTCCAAACACAGAGCCTGTTCACCTGCATTTAGCAAGGATGATCCATGAGAGACAGGAAAACCAATTATATCATTTACTCGTCCGTTTAAAAATCACTCTTGGACCATTAGGGGAACAGAATTTTTTCAAGGATGGTTTATCATTGCACAGCAACTTTAATTTATTGATGTCTAATATAATTTAAACATATTCATTACATGTTTAGTTTCATTGTTAATAAAAAATATATTACATTTTGATTTGCTGTGTATAATTGTGTTATAATTTGGCTAATATGGGTCTTGGGCATAGATAAAATCAGAATCATTTATCACAAATTGTTAGGTTTCTTTAACATAATGTTGCTGAAATACAGATATCCCTTAGCAATGTTGGCATGTCAGGCAGAAGTAATTTATCCAACAGTCATGACACGATTTCTTATTCAGAATACAATCTCTTATTTCGATTTTTCTAGATAAATTGTAGTAATGCAGTTAATTGAATTTGAAACACGAAGGATTCTTTAACATAATGTTGCTGAAATACAGATATCCCTTAGCAATGTTGGCATGTCAGGCAGAAGTAATTTATCCAACAGTCATGACACGATTTCTTATTCAGAATACAATCTCTTATTTCGATTTTTCTAGATAAATTGTAGTAACGCAGTTAATTGAATTTGAAACACGAGGGGAAGTGATGGATTTGCATTGGCTGTGTTCACTGTTGCTCAGTGTGCATGAGCCTTGTAATTTTTGGAAATCTGTGCATAGCAGACAATGAATAGTAAGTTTATTTGACATGCAGGGACCTTCAGGGCCAAGAGGACCACCAGGGCCGCAGGGACCTAAAGGAAGAAGGGTAAGTAATGCTGTTGTTTCGTGTTACCTAGAGCAGAGAGCAGCGTGTTGCCAGTGTGAGTCTGATGTGGAACCAGTGTGAGTCTGATGTGGAACCAGCGTGAGTCTGATGTGGAACCAGCGTGAATCTGATGTGGAACCAGTGTGAATCTGATGTGGAACCAGTGTGAATCTGACGTGGAACCAGCGTGAATCTGACGTGGAACCAGTGTGAGTGTCTGACGTGTAACCAGCGTGAGTCTGACGTGTAACCAGCGTGAGTCTGACGTGTAACCAGCGTGAATCTGACGTGGAACCAGCGTGAGTCTGACGTGGAACCAGTGTGAGTCTGATGTGGAACCAGCGTGAATCTGACGTGGAACCAGTATGAGTCTGATGTGGAACCACTGTGAGTCTGATGTGGAACCAGCGTGAGTCTGATGTGTAACCAGCGTGAGTCTGACGTGGAACCAGTGTGAATCTGATGTGTAACCAGTGTGAGTGTCTGACGTGTAACCAGTGTGAGTCTGATGTGTAACCAGTGTGAGTGTCTGACGTGTAACCAGTGTGAGTCTGATGTGTAACCAGTGTGAGTGTCTGACGTGTAACCAGCGTGAGTGTCTGACGTGTAACCAGCGTGAATCTGACGTGGAATCAGTGTGAATCCGATGTGTAACCACTGTGAGTCTGACGTGTAGCCAATGTGAATCTGTTTGTTTTGTTTCGTGGTTTGGTTTGGTTTGGGTTTTTTTCAGACATAGGGTATAATTTATCCCAGACTTCAGTTTCCTTAAATGGGTGGAGTAGATTATAGCATACATCTGCATACACTGATAACTCCTTGTGCCTGTCCGAAGTGCCTATAGTAGGAGATTTGTCTGAGTCTGGGTTTCTGGATGAAGGAATTTACCTCAGCAGCTCACGGACAAGGACATACCCACCATCACCAGAGAGAATCTGTGTGGGCTTCTGAAAACAGTCATCATTTTCCCCCTACCATAGATAAGTTTTTTAAAAAGCCTATTTAAAAGGACATATTGGTAAAAATTTCTATCTGAGAATTAAGTTGCTAATTTAATAACAGACATTTCAATTTAAAAATGAATTATCTGTTAAAAAAAACCAAACATACACACAAAGAAATATTCACGATTACTTTAATAACTTGTAGGTTATCTATAATAACCTATGTTATCTATCAGTGCCCAGAAAAATGAGACTTTTGGGGCCTGTTTGTCAGGCAAAACTGAAATGCAGATATATTTGCTTATGCAGCATATCTAACAACATTCAAAGAGAAGCCTTAATTAGCTGCAGAGTGCAAGAATAAATAAACACTGATAAACAAAGTGAACGACAAAGAGTGGGTGTGAGCAGCAGCACCCAAGCCTGGGCATCGGCCGGCAGAGAAGTAGGTGCTGAAGTGTGCAGAAGGTGCTTCTACAAATGTGGGGAGAGCCAGTGGCATCAGGTGAAGAGTACAAATATGCAGTCATTTTCACTGTAAAATGCTGGTGTTTGAGCTTCATCTAAGAAGGAAAATCCCTTGGGCCCTATTAGTCCACCAGGATTTCAGTTTGGCTGGTGGCCCGTAGGGTGCAGTGAGTTACAAGGGTAATTTGGTGTGATTGTCTCTGAATAGGTACTGAACTGCTGCAGAGTGCATATTTTAGTTGCTCTAGAGGTAGCATTCCCCTCTAAACCCCTGCTCTGATCCTTCCCTCCATCTGCCAAAATCACCAGAGCTGGAGTCGGAGCCAAGCCACTGGCATGGACGCGAGTCCTCCCCTGCAGACTCTCCCTCCAAGCAGCATCTGCTACCTGGTGATTGTTTTTATGGGGAAATGGCTTACTTTAATTTAGATTTCTATTTTGAAGGTAGAAGATAGTTTTTATTTAGGAAGCGTCCCATCTTCTGCCCACTGAGGAATCTTTAAGGCGGTCTGTCTCTACAATTTCGGCAGCGCATCATGGAGTGCATTGCTTATAATTAAAACTCACTCAAAATAAAACCCAAACATCCTAAGCTCTGTGGATGTCCCAGTTTGGAGCTGTGGTTTATGCCTTTGCCTGCTTCCAGCACGACTGGGAATGCTTCATGGAAAGGGGTCTCAGAGCAGACCCAAGTCTTTGCTCTGTGAACAAACTCCCACTGAAGCCACTGAAAGTTTTGTTTGCTCTCAAGATCAAAATATCAGACCCAAAGTGGAATCTCGCATAAGGAAAGCATCCGAGGGCCCCGAAAACCTGGGTTTTGTCATACTGGATTTAGAAGTGTCAGGACCCCCAGCTCTGTGTGGCAGGCCTCAGAAAAATGCGTACTACAGTCATATACAGAAGTTAAATGGAAGCATATGGAGATTCCCTTTGTTGTGTGCTGAGACAAGAACGTGTCCCGTCGTCGCAGCTGGAAGCTGCAGGAAGTCTCTAGGAGCGCTGACCCTCTCCTTCTGCTCTGTCACAGGGTGGAATTCCTTCATCTCATAAATCCTGGGCCTTTCAGCAGCCGGTTCACATCCCAGATAACCCAGCAGCCTGAGAGCATCCAGCTGCTCGGTCTCCAGCACACCAGGGAGTTCTGGCCAGCTGAAGCTGTCTGGGAGCCCACAGAGTGTCTCTGTCGGGGGATTTTGGGGGATTTGCCACTGAACGCAGTGCTGGCGCAGAGCTTCCTCGGCTCATGCTCCAGACTTGATGGACTCCAGCTGCTCATGTGCAGGGCTGGATCCTGTTGTGACCCACATCGTGTTTTGTGGTGTTAATCTCATGAAAACAGAGAGGGACGACGCTGCTTTGTAGAGACTTCAGTGGCAGGATGGCACTCTAGGGGATGGGAATGTATGTATCTAAGAGAAGAAGTTTCTCTCTGTGACCAGAAGGAAGAAATAAATTCATCTGGAAGATGTATTGGTAGCAGTGTAGGCAGCCGTGAAGCTGTTGTTGCATGGGCTTTTGTTGTTCTTGTTTGCTAATGTATGGAGAAGAAAACCACAATGTCAGAGACGAGTTCTGCTTTTAGTTCATACCATAATATCTGACTAATACAGCTGCGGCTTTTAATTTGAGAGGAAGAGATCCTGTATCATCATACTAATTTAATGAGTGAGACCTAAGCAAGACTATCTATAGCTGCTAGGATTCTTAGCAGTTAGTATTCTCCAGGCTGATTTTTGGTGTTTGAGAGCTCAAAAGTAATAAGTTCTCTGCTCTTACTTCCCTGGAATGCAGCTCATGAGGTTAAATTTTGAAAACACAGGCAAATGACACAGTGAAGTGCTGTAAATTTGGGGTCAGGCAACAGCAGCCAGTAGGGTTATCTCTGCTTCAGATTTGTCTGTACAGGCCTGAAGAGCCTCAGTTACCGAAGGCCATCAGTGCTCGGTTTTAAAGAGGATATATTTCATGCTTCTCACCACAGGGAATATGGAACCTAGAAAAATGTGTGCTTCGGGATTATGTGAAACAAGTGGCCAGCGTGCTTTGTGCTGCATCGATAGCCGAGTGTGTTTATCTGTCATGATGGTTTAAAGGAAGTGACACTAAAATTTGTCATTTTCCAATATACTCCCTTGTCGACCACCAGAAAGGATCAGTAGCTACATAATGTGTTTATGTTACATTCAGTCTTCTGATATTTAGGATGAGAAGGAACAAAGAGTTAATTGATGCGTCTTGCCTTCTTAGATGAACTTTTTCTCAGCTTGTCATCCTACAGTTTCCAGTGTAAAATGTTCCATTTTAGAAACAAAGCTGAACCAAGGCCAAAGAAAAAAGCAGTAGCAATTGTTTGGCAGCGGCACTCCCAGCTCTGTTGCAACCTAAATTAAATAACAGCAGGCAAATCATGTGTGTGTCTCCCGTTCTGTACTAGCCGGAGTGGGAAATGATACAGATCCAATTAATCTGTGCCAGTAATGAGTCACACCACACTATTTATAGGGATGTTATGGTGTGCTTTTGTTAGAAGACTGGATTGCCTTTCTGCTGGATGCTGTGGCTGGCTAAAGGCAGGCTCGGCCCACACCCAGGGGCTGAGCATCGCGTTGGTTTCTGTGAC